TTCACAATAGCTGAAAAACACCAGTTTTTAAAATATGCACAGAAGTTAGTCTTACCTCTATAAATTAGCATCTAGAATCCATAAAGTATGTATTCCTTTATGCTGTCTGAATTGAGGGCCTGTGACATTGAAACTGTATTTTATAGCTTTCCCAGACACTACTTTTAATAGATTTTAAAGAGTAATATAACATAATATTCTTTCTACAGTTTGCAATTCATAAACCCTTCCACAAGCCTTTAAAACAAAAAAATAAATAAACACATGAACACCTAGAACATCTTTTTTGTTTGGAAAACCGGCATACAGGCAAAATGAGATTGAAATACCAAAGAGAACAGGGTTTTGTTCTGTGCTCCCTTAAATGGCTTTCATTATTGGTGTGTAAATATAGTCTGATTTTTCATTAGGGGAGAAGATTCTGATTCACCACTGACTTTACAATTTACTGCAATAAAAGACCAATACCTTAAAGCAGTGACTTTTCTCCCTCCTGTTCTCTTCATTTAAAATTGATAGAGCAGATAACAACATGTTACCAAACAAAATATAAACACAAAATACTGAAAAGCTAGTAAGTTCATAAATAGCACTTTTGCCATCAAAATAGCTAAGCATTAATTATACTTTTAAATATAACTTCAACCACAACACAATAATATTCAAAAGATCAAATAAGGACAAACTGCATTTCAGGAAACTAATATTCCAGAAAACTGTTTAGAGAGACCCCACCCTTTTTTTTTTTTTTGCTATCCAACATCCTAAGGACTGCTTAAAAGAATCACTTATAAACCCAACACAATACAATTTTTTCTAAGAAATCCAAGCTGTCAACTTATGAGTCACATTTCAACCTGAAGTGATTTGAAACAGCTAAGATACTGCATTCTTAAATACAGGCTGTGTAATCAAAGCGCTGCTCACATGTCCTTGATTCTGAGACTTGGAAAGCTTTAATAAGATGTAACCACAGATAAAGCCAAGCAAGGAGCATTACCGCTTTACCTCATACCAGAGCCCGAGTTCCCCTCCATTTCCTATCATTTTACATTTCCAGTAATATGCTCCTCTAAAGTCATGTAAATTATTTTTAACCCAAGGATTAAAATCAGAGCCAAACTATCTAAAAAATTCTAAATTTATAATTGGTGAGCTCTTTTCTAACCTCTGCTCAGTATGCTGACATCTAAAAGTCAAAGAACTCCTCTGTTAGGACTGAAATTCCCAGGAGGAAGAAGGCTCACATCCAGTCTGAGAGCACACAATGGAATCACAGCTGACGATGCACATATTTTTCTAGATGTCTCCATATGCTTGGGAGGTTTCCCCCAACAAGCCAGGCATTAGGGGACTTGCCTCTCTACCACCAAATCTGAGAACATTTTCAAGGATTGTTGAAGGGAATAAGTAAATAATGTATTGCTCTTGAGCATACAAAAGAGAAGGGCACACATCAGAGTGGCCATCAGACCTAAATTAACTAATGATTGGGGGTTTTGAACGTTGTCAAATTTTGAATGTTGTTTAATTTTAAAAACTCTACTTTTGGCAACTGAATGATTTATCTTCGAGGTTTTTACTGTTTTAACACTAAAATAACACCTTAAGGACTACAACAAAATGCAATTAATTTTTGTCTACATAAACACTCAAAATTACAGCAGATTGGGAATTCACATTATAAATTTTAAAATGGTGTATTACGACATAACATATATATAGGGTGTGGTAAATACCTTTCTCTAAAACTAAGTCCCCTTCAGCTCCTTCTTAGTAACCCAATATTGTAAGTGTTAGAAACCAGTAAAGATAGAATAAATATCATCACATAAAATACCTCAAATTAAAAAACCCTCCCAAGATTAGTTAAATTCATGGGACACTTATCACAAATGAATGGATTCATCTCAATTTATTATTACTCATTCTTCGAACTCCCAAAGATTTTACAAATGCCAGTTGGGAAAAGAGCCTTGCTGCTGTCAGAGTGCACTAACCTCACCAACAAAGAACAGGAGCTCGCTCACAACAACAACAACAACAACAACACACACACACACACACACACCATTGTAACAGGCTGTCTTTTTACACACACACACACAGCACTGTAACAGGCTGCTGTCTTTTTACACACACACACACACACAGCACTGTAACAGGCTGCTGTCTTTTTACACACACACACACACACAGCACTGTAACAGGCTGCTGTCTTTTTACACACACACACACACACAGCACTGTAACAGGCTGCTGTCTTTTTACACACACACACACACACAGCACTGTAACAGGCTGCTGTCTTTTTACACACACACACACACACAGCACTGTAACAGGCTGCTGTCTTTTTACACACACACACACACACAGCACTGTAACAGGCTGCTGTCTTTTTACACACACACACACACACAGCACTGTAACAGGCTGCTGTCTTTTCAAGACTGCTGCTATTCCTGCCCAGCAACCTGTGATCTTCATAGAGAAGCAAAGACCTATGCTTCGTATTCTTAAGTCAGGAGTTGAGAAAGTCTCTAGATTGAATTTAACAAACAGCAAAAAGCAACCAAAGATGTCCCCTAACCTGGAATAAACCAGAAAAGTACCCACACACTGTACGATTCAGCAGTGTTTAAGAAAAAACTGAAATAATTTATTTTTATGACTCTTTCTGTGTGGGAGTAATGTGGCAAACTACATTTTACTCAGACTTTTTCTCTGTAGACAAATATATTCTTTGACTAGCGCTGCCCCTTAAATACCATGCTTTATGTTTCAAACAGTGATGCTTTGGTTCCTAACTTCATTTTGTTTACGCAAGACAGAGCAAAATAACAAAAACAAAAAAATGCATACAGTAAACCACAACTTTTTTTGTCATCCTAAATGCCGAACTTTCAAGTGCACTTTGGAAATTGGCGGTCTAATTAAACAAGGAATCAGTGAAGCTATTATAAACAATGATATTTACACTCCCAATAATCATTGGCATAAGCCAACCCGCTGTCTTCATTCTCAGGGTACCCTTTCAAATTTCACTGTAGCCACGCTGAAGTCTGAACTGAGCGAAACAGAGGTAGACGTAAACATAACTCCTATGATCCTCAGCACATACACCGGGCGCTGTGGTCCACAACACGATCACTACAATATATCCCATTTTAGAAACGGGCCTCCAAGAGTTACTGCCGCATCTCAAGTGGCTTTAGACTTAGTCGTGTCAAAGACAATGTTGCTTATGGTACCATGGAAATACAAAATCGCGTGCAAACTACATGCTTCCCCGGGTCGGAGCAGGTATAAGTGACACTACCCCCGAGACCAAGGAACTGGTGACTAGGGATAGACAGGAGTAGATAGCTCGGCGTCTCCATGACTCCCCCGCCCCGCTTGCAACTCTGCTCTAACTGGTCGGGATAAAAATCCGCCCCTTTCCTCCCTCCGGTCCCCACGATTGGCTTACAGACACCCGGCAGGTCAGCTCCCCGCCTTCGATTGGCTCAATGCCCCATCAGTCACACACAGCGAGATTCGGGTCGGTGGGAGGGGAAGGCGTTGGAGGAGGTAGAGTGGGAGTGGGATTAGAGGACGAGGTGGCGGAGGAAGGTGTTCAATAATCGGTCTCGGGTTTGGGAAAGTTTCCCCTATCAGTGACAGACCTAGAAGGCGCTAGGCTCAGTTCAGCTGCGCGCCGGTGCTAGGGGCTTAGGTCCCCGATTCCCGCCCCTCGGTCCCGCAGGCCCCGGAAACCACTAGGGGGAGGGGGTAGAGGGAGGGACCATCTAACCAGGGACCGACCCACCTCCGATCTCGGAAGAGGCGCCTCCGGGACTCCCCGGAGGGGCGAGGGGCGGAGAGCTCCGGCGCGCAGCGACGACCTCGGCCCCCTCCCCCAGCAGCCCCCAGAGGAACCAGGGAGGTGTCCCCGGGCCGGGAGCGTTACCGTCGCGAGTCGGCCGGGAGGGGCCCTCCCGCTTCCCGCCTGGGGCCCTGAGGGCCTGTCCCTTCGGGGGCGGGGAGAGGGGGAGAGAAAAGGGGGCGCTGGCGAGCCGACCCGGAACCTCCCGGACCGCCTCCCGCCCCCAGCCCCGGCCCCAGCGCGCCTCCGGCACACATGCCCGCACCCAGAAAGTTAAGTCCGGGGCGAGCCCAGCCCGGCGCCGCCGCGGTCCGGCCCCCGGCTCCCCGCCCCCACCGCGGCCGGGCCTGCTCGGCCCGAGTGCACCGCCGCCCCGCCCGCCGCAGCTCCTTCCCAGCCGCCCGCCGCGCGCGACGCCCCTCGCCCCCCGCCCCGGCGCTGACACGGGCCCGGCCCGCCCGCCGGGCCGCGGATCCCCCTCTCCAGCGTCCCAGCCCGCCCGCCGCCCCTGACAACGCGCTTCACCTTCACACACCCCTAGCACTTCCCCAGTCCTGCCTCCCCTCGCCCGGCTCCCACCCTCCGCTGCAGTCGTGCGCGATTCCATTAAAAAATGCACCTTCTCAGGATCCACCTTCCCGTCTCTGCCTCGCTCCCCCCGAGGGCGCAGGAGCCCGGTTCTCGCCGAACCCGCATCGGGATGGGCGGCCGGCGCCTCGCTCCTCGGGTGGGGGCCGCGCCCGCGCCCCGGCCTCCACGCCGCGCCCCGGCTCACCTCTAGCCGGCGCCGCGGGCTGCAACCTCCGCCCGCCTCGCGCCCCGGGACTCGTCTCCTGAGCTCTCGCAAAGCGCTGGAGCGCCTCCTTTCTCTCCCAGGGACTCCGCGTCTCCCCGCCGCTTCCCGCCCTCCCCACCCCCCAGTCCCAACTCCCCAGCTTCGCGGCGCCACCGGGATGCAACTCCCGTTTTCCGCGCACTCCGCCAGCGGTCCCCGCACACAAAAACAGTCCTTTCCACGGCGCACGGCGCTGACGGCTCGGCGCAGGAGGGCAGTCGCGCCCGGGGGTGGGGACGCGGCGCCCCCCGCCCGCCTCCCGCCCGCCCTCTCGGCCCCCAGGGAAGGCGCGGTTACCGGCTCGGGTCGGTCACGCCGTCAGGTGCCGGCTGCCGTCGGCGCTGACCTTCGCCGCTGAAGCTGTGGCTGAGGCTGCGGCCGCCATGTTCCTGTGTTAATAACTGCTGCCTGGTTGTTTATTTCAATGGAGATCCTCCCCCAATTCCCTCCTCCTCCTCCTCCGCGTCTCCGCACTTGCGGAGAGAGACACAGACCGCGCGAGCTCGCGAGCAGGGGAGGGGGCTCGGGAGCCAGGCCGTCTCTCCCTCCGCCTCTCAGGCCGTGGCCGCCGCCAAGTCCTGTCACTGGGGATAGGACTGGGCGGAAACTTGCCTCCCGCGCCCCCGAGGGGGCAAAGGTGGACGGAGGGTTCTCCGGAGAGCAGACCCTGGCCGCGGGGTCCGCAGCATCTCTGTCGGCAGAGTCCTCTAAGAAGGCAACCCGGGGAAGATATTAAGAGTGAGGGGAGAAGGGTGAGGGGACAAAATGGGTGACTGGTAGAGGGAGGGTGACCTACGGGTGACTGGAAGTGAAGGGAGAGTAAACAGATGACTCCATGGGAGGGCAAAGGGCAGTGCCAAAAAGGAAAGCGAGCGGATGGGACTGGTCGGGGCTGCGGAGTGGAAGCCGAGGGATCGTGGGGCTGCAGACGGCGGCGAAGATGCCCTCGGAAGGAGATCGGGGAGAGCCAAGTGCCAGGTTCGCCCCGGGAGGAGCCTCCCGCCCACGCTCTGGCCGGACCCCTCTGCCTGCAGCGTGCACCCTTAGGGCGCACCTCACATGCCCCGCGCCTGCTCTTGGGCGCAGAGGCGTCCCTAGTCCATCAAATTTCCTAGGCTCCTAAGAGGATAGGCTTCTGTTGCTGACTTATCTCTTGAGGAGATGAGGGGCGCGACTGTGGGAAGCGAGCTTAAAGGCGTGCCACCCAGCAATTGCACGATAAAGTAAAAGTGTACGCAGTGTGTAATACCTAACGCGGTTGAGCATTCTGGTCACAAGACATGAGTCACAAAAGTTTTTATTGGAAAATCCACTTCTGAGCATCAAATGATGTTGGGGGCACGCAGGAGAGTTGCACCAAAAATTTCTTGCATCAGTTCTTTGCTTTGGAAAAGCAAGTTCTTACGGATAACCGTCGAAAAAAGTGAGCAACATTCGTCAAATAAACTTCCCAATTTTCAGTCCTATGAAAAACCACTTGCCGTACACAGTAACAGTGTTTATTGAACCCTTACTATGTGTCTGGCACTGTGCTCCGTGATTTATATACACCACAGATTTTGATCCTTAAGCCTTACAAAGTAATTACCATTTTTATCCCTTACAAAAAATTGAAACTTTAAGAGTAAATTGGCCTAGGGTCACACAGCCAGGAAGCTGGAAAGGATTTGAGCCCAGTTCTAGCAGGCTCCAAAGCCCAAGTTTTAATGCAACCTTCAACCTCAAATCTGTGGGAATACCAATTAATTTTATGTGTGTGGGTGTTTGACTATGGATAGAAAATGTTCAGAAGGTTATAGCAAGTTGGAGAGTATAAGTGAGTATGTGATGGGTTACTCCCACTTTTCTTATTAACTGTAGAATTTGAAATGTTTGCATTAACCATGTATTTAGTTAAACTTTAAAGAGTATGTTAATTACCTGGCATAACAGAATTATGTTCCCTGAAAATTCAAAGCTCTCTAAAGAACTGGGAGAAGACATGGGAAGTGGAACCTGTCTTCTTCCACAAATACTAGTCCAAAATGTTACTATAATGAGGTAGTAGTCACCGGTGGGCTGTCACATTGCTGGACTCTAATTTTCTTTCCTGTCCTCACCCACAACGCATTTTGTGATAAAGAAAAGATTCTCCTTGCTGTCGATTCCTCCCTTTTTTGGCGGAAGTCCTCATCCTTCAGTCCTCTGCAACAGTTTCACACTTGCAAAACTCGCTTGTCATCTCTGTGCAAATAAATGACTCCCCAATACATTTCCATGCTACTCAATAAAACTTACTACATGCTCAAAATACACGACTGTTTCTACAAAAATAAAACAAACAAAAATAATCTGACAGCATAACATAATGGGTTCCATGTCCAGCTGCTACTCAGTTGCCTCGAACCTTCAGGAATCATATAATTTCTGCTCTCTGGTACAATCTCTGGACTCCCCCAGTGATTCATGCTGTTATTAAAACAATATCTCATACAGAAGTTGTTTACATATTTGTCTGTCTTCTGCACTAGACTGTAAGCTACTCAGGATCCAGGACCATGTCTTGTTCTTGTTTTTACATGCTATAGCTCCTAACAAACTCTTCTCACATAATGGTTGTTTTTTAACTGAATCCATGAAACATAAAAAATAGTATTTGATCCAATCTCCGTGTTTTCTTCCCCACCTCATCCTCCAATACCTTGTTCTTAAAATACGTTTATAAAAAAATGCTTTCAGTATTTGAAACAATTTAGATTTCTGTAAGACCACAGAATAATTGTTTATGGCAACTAGCCATAATTATTAGTGAATTACCACTATGATAATAAAAAACAAAAATGATGAAAAAGTAGTAAGTTGACTTCATGATGCAATAAAAGAAAAAAGAAAGCAAAGATATAGGAACTTAGTATATTACCAATACAGGACAACCCAATAAGGAAAAACATGTGGGTGCAAATCATAAAGGGGAAGGAAATTGTTGAAATTACTAGAAGCAGAAACTTGACAGACCATGGATGGATGAAGCAAGTGGACAAACCAAAATGAAATGTCAGCCTAAGTATAAATGCAACATAAAACAGTAAAGAAAAAGGATTATTTATATATTTAACTAGATACCTAAGAAAATTCAGAAAAAAGTGAATACCATAAGGCAAGAAATTCTATCTTGTCCATTTTCTCTTTTCCATTCATTTCAAGCTACTCACTTTCTTCATACCAAACTGCATAAAAATGGAAGATTCAATACCATTTTTGCATTATTAACATTACTAGCATGCATTATGATATAATGGGAGGTAATGTGTATGGTACAGAGCTATAGAAGATAGGCAAATGTATGAACTAGACTTTGCTATTTACTATGTGACAGTAGACAAGTCACTAAGTATCTGTTTCATCATCTGTGTAACTGTTGCAAGACTCAAACAAAATGGTGTAAATAAATGTGCTTTGTTAACAATCAAGCTTTTTATACAATGTAAAGGAATATTATGTTGACTAGATCTGTATATAGTAAAGTTATCTCTGTTTTGCTGCACTCTCCTTTCAAATTGCAAAAGTAAAGACCTATAGTTCAATCTATTAAAAATTAATCATTCAAGGGGAAATCAGTTAAAACATTTGACTATTTATTATTAAACAAAACAACTATTTGGTCAGATGTTTCATATTGTTAACTGTTTCCAAATCCCTTAAATATTATAACTACGATAAATGTGTCTAGTACAGTTCAAGCATATTACATATATTTATATTTCTAATCAAAGAAGGCATTATGTATATTATTCCCATTTTACATGAGAAAACTGAAGTTCAGAGTTTATTTGTGCTAGATCATAGAGCTGCCTTTGCAGCATAGCTAACAGATTTTGCTAAAATTCTGTTCTCCAGCACTGAATATCTCTACTTCTCTAGGCAATACATTGCCTTCATCTTAATTTCCTCAGTTACCTACAATTCCTAAAACATAATATATGCTGAATAAATGATCATGAAATGAATGAATAAGTGGATCCCTTCAAACCATACTGCAGACTTTAATTAATATTCCCACTTTTATTCTATTATTTTCCCCTTGAAAACACTTAATAATCCTTTACTGCCTACAAAATATAATTCAACCTAAGAATACAGCAGCTCAGTTTGAAAAAGACAGATGCACCCCTCTGTTTATCGCAGCACTATTTACAATAGTCAAAAAATGGAAGCAACCTAAGTGTCCATCAGTAGATGAATGAATAAAGAAGATGTGGTACATATATACGCAATGGAATATTATTCAGCCATAAGAAGAAAACAAATCCTACCATTTGCAACAACATGGATGGAGCTAGAGGCTATTATGCTCAGTGAAATAAGCCAGGTGGATAAAGACAAGTACCAAATGATTTCACTCATATGTGGAGTATAAGAACAAAGAAAAAACTGAAGGAACAAAACAGCAGCAGAAGCACAGAACCCAAGAATGGATGAACAGTTACCAAAGGGAAAGGGACTGGGGAGGATGGGTGGGAAGGGAGGGATAAGGGGGTGGGGAAGAAAGGGGGCATTACAATTAGCATGTGGGGGGAGGCACCAGGAGGGCTGTGCAACACAGAGAAGACAAGTAGTGATTCTACAGCATATTACTGCGCTGATGGACCATGACTGTAATGGGGGTTGTGGGGGGGACTTGGTGAAGGGGGAAACCTAGTGAACATAATGTTCCTCATGTAATTGTAGGTTAATGATACCAATATATATATTATATATGTAGCCATATCTTCTTAAGTGAAAACAGCAACAAAATAGCTTAAATGTTAGATCATAGACTTAAATGTTAATGCTAAAGCTATAGACCTGGACACTCATTCCAAGGTGTCCTAGAATCAGACCAACATGAATTTCAGTCTTGGCTCTTACTAACTGTAGATTTAGACAAGTTATTTAGCCTCTCTGCAAGTCCTGTCCAGTGCAATAAAGCAAGAAAATGAAAAGGAAGTAAAGCCATCTTTACTCACTGATGTGTTTATCTACATATAAAATTCAAAAGAATCTATAAACTATTAAAATGAATGTAAGATCACAGGATACAAGGTCAACACAGAAATCTATTTTATTTCTATGTATCAGCAAGAAACAATTGGAAAATTAAATTTTCTAAAATGTCATTCACAAAAGTATAAAAAACATCAAATACCTAGGAATATATGTAACAAAAGATGTGCAAGATCTCTACATTGCTAACTAAAAACATTGCTGATAGAAATTCACAATACCCTAATTAGAGGAGAGATGGATAGACTCTATTGTTAAGATGTCAGCTATTCCTAAATTAATATATAGATTCATTATAATATCAGTCAAAATCCCAGCAGGACCTTTTAGTGAAAATTGAGATGCTAACTCTAAAATTTATATTATCTAGAAAATACTAGACAAACTCAAAGAATAGGTTGGATAACTTACACTACTTTCAATACTTACTATAGAGCTAACAATAATTAAGACCATGTGATGTTGGTGTGAGAATAGACAAAGATCATTGGAACAGAATAATAGATCTATAAATAGATCCTCAAATTTACAGTCAAATAGTTTTTTACAAAGTTGTTATAAAAAGTCAATAGAGAAAGGAAAGCTTAATCAATACACAGTGCTGGAACATCAGATACCTGCATGGAGAAAAATATGGAATGAACCTCACACCATATGTAAGAATGAATGGAAGTGGATTGTAGATTTAAATGTTAAAGCTAAAACTATAGACCTCCTAGAAGAAAACATGGGATAATAAATCCACAACTTTGGAATAAACTTTTTTAGCAGGACATGAAAGGACAGAAAACAAAAATAAATGATAAATTAGATTTTATTAAAATTATAAACTTCTCATCAAAAATGCCACTAAGGAAATGAATAGGCAGTTCACAGATTGGGAGAGCATAC